AAAAGATCTTTACAACTCAGGAATGCTTCTGATATTTCTTCTCCTACATTTCGTTTTCTCAAATTTGTGATTTATCATATCTTTTAAACCATAAATTTAGAAAAAAGAAACAAACAATCGATCAACGATTGAAGTCTAACGTTATACTCTAAATTATATCCTTCGAATACTTTGGAAATATTCTATCTGCTACTTTCAAACGTTGTTAAGTATATACTTTAAATACTTTGCTTTTCTATATCATCGGCGTGTAAAATTTATATACCAAATATATTCGTTCAATTTTTCTTTAATAATCTATTTTATTTATCTTTTAAAGGACACCATCGGCCAGCACATCTCTGGTGTTATCCTGTTCCACGAGACTCTTTACCAGAAGGCCGACGATGGAACACCATTCGTTGAACTCTTGAAGCAACGTGGCATCTTGCCAGGTATCAAAGTCGACACGGGTGTGGTACCATTATTCGGCACCGACGACGAATGCACCACTCAGGGTCTCGACGGTCTCCAGGCCCGTTGCATCCAATACAAAAAAGATGGATGCCAATTCGCCAAGTGGAGATGCGTGTTGAAGATCAAGAAGGATTGTCCTAGCAAGCTCGCCATTTTGGAGAACGCTAACGTCTTGGCTCGTTACGCTTCCATCTGTCAGAGTGCTAGGATCGTGCCAATTGTCGAGCCCGAGATCTTGCCTGACGGTGATCATGACCTTGCCCGTTGCCAACAAGTCACGGAAGAGGTTCTGGCCGCTGTGTACAAGGTGAGGGGAATCTGAATATTGATCTGATTTGTTTCGTGCAGGGATACTGGCGTCTTGCCTCGTTTATTCGATAGATAGAAGCAATAGCGGTGCACAGAGTCGTTAGTATAATTGGAATCGATTACAGCTATTTGATTGAAAATAGAAGGAAATGCCACAAGGCAAGATAGGATGGTTTCAGAGTCTTTTACGTTATAGTATTGGTTGTGTAAGTTGCATACTATAGATATACTTTTCTCCTAGAATGGAGTCTATTATCCAATATTTTCTGTTTTCTGCAAGATAAATGCTATAATACTTCTATCGAGATATCAATTTTAAAAATGTAAATTTACGAAATTGTATTATTTAAATGAAGCGTTAGCCAGGCTAGCAATCTGTTAGGCATATTGCTTATGACTCTTGTTTTCACTATAGAAATATAAAGAATTGGAAAATAATCAACTTTAGTTTGACGCTTTTTTGTGTCCAGTTATTTAATTGTAGAGATTTCATTTCTTCTTTTTATTGAGAAGTTGAAATTTCATCATATTTGACGTTTCAGGCACTCTCTGATCATCATGTGTACCTCGAGGGAACTCTTCTGAAGCCGAATATGGTAACACCAGGACAGAGCTGCCCGAACAGGGCATCTCCTCAAGAGATCGCAGCTGCTACCGTGACCGCTTTACTGCGCACCGTGCCACCTGCAGTACCTGGAATCACCTTCCTCAGTGGTGGTCAATCAGAAGAGGAGGCATCCGTGAACTTGGACGCCATCAACAAGTTCCCAGCGAACAAACCTTGGGCACTGACCTTCAGCTACGGTCGTGCTCTTCAAGCCTCTGTTCTCCGCGCATGGGGCGGCAAGAAGGAACAAATTGCTGCAGGCCAGCAAGAACTTCTCAAGAGGGCTAAGGTAACTCTCAGGCTATGTTATCCTATTTCAGATTTCCTTCTTTATGTTTTATAATTTCGAAGCATCTCTTTTACCCTTTGATGTGTGCTGCTATGTCAGTAGAATAAATTTTTTTTACTTCTTTTTTATTATTGTGACTAACTTAGTTTGACTTATCTATGTTCTTTTCTGTATGTAATTTTGTGTACAAAAGTTTACTAAAATATCTTTTCTCTTTCTATGTGCTATTTATGGGGATTTGGATTATTACCATTCTTCTCTACATGTATTTTGCCATCACTTCTTTTTTTCTCTAGCTATTGCATTTTTCAGCTTTTTCTTTTTAATACTTAGAAACTTTCCTTTTTATCTTTATATAGTCCTATCTTTTTACATTTTTACATCTTATGTACACATATAGTATAGTTTTCATTTCTTTTATATTTAGATCCTATTCTAGTTTATTTTATTAGGTTTGATTATTGCCGTTTTATTTAATCTCTACTTTCTTTTTATCATTTCTTTTTGCATGTATGTATACTGTGTGACTGTTTAGGCAAATAGTCTAGCCAGCCTAGCCAAATACTCTGCTGGTAGCATTGTTAGCGCAGCTGCAAATGCCTCTCTCTATGTGAAATCTCATGCCTACTAAACTCTCTTCTTTTTCTGAGACATGTTTCCATAGTAAGTATCGTAGATAAGTTCTGTATATATTTGCTTTTCTATGTGTTCATATTATATGTACATACTGATAACATTGTGTATTTAAATACATATTGTTACTAATTATCGTTTCTAATTGTAAGTTACTGTTAATTAATTATTATACACTCCACAAAATTATATCCACAAAATAAATGATGACCAAAAAATTGTCGGCGACACACTTTTTATTTAAGGTGCGATAAAACGACAATAAAAATCGTACAACTTTTTAGATATCGTTGCAAAGGGGAAACTTCTCTTTTCCTTACAAGGTCATTTTTTAACGAATTTCAAAAAAGATTTTCTAAACTTTGTAGAGTCGTTCGAATTTATCAAATCTAAAAAGAAAAAAGCAACTTTAGTTTTCCGTTCCGTTTTATGATATAAATGATATGATATATGAAAGGATTTTTGAGAAAATTCAGTTCAGAGAAGGGAAAGTAGAAGCTTTACCCTTTAAAATGAATCCAGGTAGACCGTTGTACGATTTTCCTCCACGAAGTTATAGCAATTCAAAATCGATAACTTTTCAGTTTTCAGTGATTTTTTAATTTTGTGGAGTAGTGTATTAATATAAAGTTTGTCTAAAATATATTCTTGTATTTATAGGCTAACAGCGAATCGGCACTCGGCAAATACGCTGGTGGCGTGGCGGGAGCTGCTGGTAACGCAGCGCTTTTCGTCGCAAACCACGCATATTAAATAATCATTAGACATCAATAAGGATTAGACAATTAGATCGTTCGTCGAACATCGTCAACGTCGATTACCGTTGCCGGCATGAAAACATTATTATCGACAGTGAGGATGGGGGAACGAATGGAGAAAGACTCAAATAATACTTCGAAAGCTCGAAACACAAAATACGATCGCGCAGCTTCTGTATAATTTTATGTTTTTATTTGAAAAAATATAAACCTGGAAATTGAATTAACTGAATTTTAACTAGTCGCGGTAATTGGTACGTTTTCACGTGATTTTTAATCGATACGAAATTTTGACAATGCGTTTTAATCTCGAATATGGAGAAGCTGAGGGATATAGATTGTGTTTTACGATAAAACCTATTTCTCAGGATCACGCTGCTGTCGATCACTATCGATTCTCTTCATCGATTGTCGTGTTTCTAAAGAAGCAAGCTACGAACGATCGCCGCTATTCTTCCTGCTTTTACACTTCCTATTCTAACCTTTTGCGCTATCCTTTCACTTTTTTCCTCTCCTTTATGTTCGTTCTGTCTAGGATTACATGATGCGATGAAGAGTGTTTAATGTATGTTTCATCGAAACTTCTGGCGAAGAAATAGAAGAAACTCTGAAGATTTACGACAATCTTGGAGAGAATGTGGTCGGCACGTATGTACGCGAGCCTATTGGGTAAAGTCAGTTGAAAAAGGTACAGAACAAAATACAGATAAAGATTGTTTAACAGATCGTGAACAGATTTCGTGACATTCGAATTACGCACGCGTTATTATATTCTGTAACACTACGGATAAAAAGCAGATATATATATTATATATATTGTCAATGTCGTTATATTATTCTATGTGTATAAAAAGAAGCAAAAAATAAAAAATAAAAAAAAAGACAAAGTAAAAATACATATTAAATGTTGTTTGTTAGTAAATGAGTCGAATATTATGAAGTCGTAATAATTATGTCATCTACTTATACAAAATAAATATCTTATATATTATAGATATAAGTAACGTATTGAAAAGTATCTCGTACATCGATGTTATATCTAATATTTTCATTGTAATCTAGGTCACCAAATACACTGTGGAGGGTATCTATTGTGTCTCTTTATTTTAAACCCACCTCAAAACATACAGACATTTTCAACATCTTATAATATGAGCGCTATGATATTGTTCAAATTCTCGTAAATAACGGTCACTAAAAATGATTTCAATATTTATTTTGTAACGTTAACGTTATTATACTACAAAAGAGCTTCATTGGGTAATTGCAAATTCAATGAATGATACATTTTCTGTGTGCAATTTATTTCTATATAATTTTCGTCTCTTTTACACTTGTTACTAAAATGTAATTCTTACTACATTAATTTTTTGATTTTATTTGAATTTTATTTAAAGTGCCTTTTAAGTGAAAATTAAGTTCAATACTTAAAATAAGAAGTTCCCTAAATTATATTACATTCATCTGTTAACTGAGTATATACGATGTGCATACTACATAAAAATAAATTGTTCACGATTAACCATTATTCTTTTGAATTTATATTGTATAATTTACATTATTCTCTTCGTATCTACCTTCTTGCCCGATAGCTTAATCGCTCAGACCAATAAAAAAGCAAAAGCTTAAGTATTTAAATGCATTTACCCAAGTGCAAATTTGGATTGGAAATTGATGATTAAAACCATGTTATTTATTAACAGAAAAATACTAATTTACGTAATATTTTTTAGATATTTTATATAAATTGAAAATGATGTAAAAGGTTAGTAAAACTTCTATATGTATAAAAAATGTATTATTAATAAATAAATCTTTATATGAAATAAACAATTTAATAATAAATTACGAATTTTCATATAATAATTTATAATATCTAATTATAATTTATAATATCAGTATTTATAATAATTATAATATTTTTAGTATGTATGGAGAAACTATTTTGAATCGTATTTTCATTTTAGGTTATGTTTGCTTGTAAACATCGTGTATATACATAAGCACATATTCCGTCAGGAGGATAATATAAATAATATAGTTTAAAAAATATATCAATAAATCTTATATAAAAATGAACGACAGTAAACAAAATTCACACGATGAAGTTCCAGAAATCGTAAAAAATGCTGTATTGGTAAACAGTTCTCCCATTCCAGTTGAAACACCTATTGTGGAAGGTTGTGTAGCTTCATCAAAATATAAGAAAATCAAGCTTTAGAATATAATCAGCAATTAAATATGACTACAATATTAAATGATATTAATATATTTCAGGGTATGATTGGAACAAGGGAATTGACTATCATGCTTTATTTAAAACATATAAAAATTCTGGCTTTCAAGCAACAAACTTTGGTTTAGCAGTGAATGAAATTCAGCGAATGATAAATGCTAGAAACATTCCTCTTAAAGATGACCAAATTGATAGTTTGGAAGAAGATAAGTTTATTGAAAGAAAATCTTCATGCACAATATTCCTAGGATATACATCAAATATGGCTTCATGTGGAATTCGGGATACTATAAGGTTTCTTGTGCAACATAAAATGGTCTGTTAAAACATTTGGAAATCTTAATCCTGAATTTTATTGACAATTTAAATGTACACTTGTGTTGTAGGTTGACTGTATTGTAACTACAGCAGGTGGTGTAGAGGAAGATTTCATAAAATGCTTAGCACCAACATACATAGGAGATTTCCATTTAGAAGGAAGAAGTCTTAGGGAACGTGGTATTAATAGAATAGGAAATTTGTTAGTACCTAATAATAATTACTGTCTATTTGAAGATTGGGTTATGCCTATATTAGACACAATGTTGGCTGAACAGAAAGAAAGAGTATGATTTAAAAAAGAAGCCAAACATTCTCTTTTAAGAAATTAAGTTCTTGAATGTACATGAATTTTTAGGGTACGATTTGGACACCATCTAAAGTAATAGCAAGACTTGGTGTAGAAATTAATAATGAAGATTCAATATATTATTGGGCTGCAAAAAATAATATTCCTGTGTTTAGTCCTGCTCTGACAGATGGCAGCCTTGGTGATATGATGTATTTCCATTCCTTTAGGAATCCAGGTCTAATTGTTGACATAGTATCAGGTTTGAACCCTCAAAATAAAGTTTGAAATTTTCGTGTAATTTATATTGTAGTATCGTGGACGAGGGGTCTGCGGGGGTGTCGTGCGAAATATAAACAAGCGGTTGTTGAGCATGTGCATGATGGGGCTTAAACAAAAGATATGAGGCTAAGACAAAAGACAAAGGGTTGCTAAGGGACATAAACGAATTAACGGCAGTATGAGTTGAGAAGTCAGAGAGTGCGGATTATGTTGTCGAGATAGTGTTGTTAGCGTTGTTGAGAGAGAGCTGAATTTGTGTTGACGAGAGTTGTTAATTAATTATAATACGTTGTTACGATTAGTTCATGTTAAATAACCATTGTTTTCTGTTTAATTCATTTATTATTAATAAACTAATTTTTATATTTACGATACTACAATATATATATATAATTTATTAAATAATATTATATCGATTATTTTACAGATCTTAGACGGTTAAATACAATGGCTATGAAAGCAATAAATAGTGGCATGATCATTATAGGAGGTGGTGTTGTAAAACATCACATATGCAATGCAAATCTCATGGTAATAAGAGAAAATCTCAAATAGAAATGATTTTGATAATAAATTGATTTAAAATAATTTATATTTCAGAGAAATGGTGCTGACTATGCAGTATTTATAAATACATCTTCAGAATTTGATGGCAGTGATAGTGGTGCTCGTCCAGATGAAGCTGTTTCATGGGGTAAAATTCGAATGGATGCGGAACCAGTTAAAGTAAGAACATTCCTTATCATATTGAAATATATTACTTAAATAATGAATTAACTTAACATTTACTAATATTTTAGATTTATGCAGAAGCATCACTGGTATTTCCACTACTTGTTGGAGAAACTTTTGCTCGACAATATCACTCAACAAGAGAAAAAATTGTTTCAGATGTTTAAGAAAAACTTAATAGAAACATTCAAACCAAAAATAAAAGCATTTCTATCTTTCTTTTCATACATAATACATGCATATGTATACAAGTAATATTCGAAAATGTTTTTCTGATTTTTTTAATTCTTTTTTTTACTTTGATTTTGTTGGAAACCGAATTGATTAACGTAGTATAAGCCATGTGTTAAACAAAAAGAGGGAAGTCAACTAGGAGAGAGAACATGATCTCAGAGTATGTTCAGAGGAAGTGTGTGAACAACGTGCAACTAAGAATGTGTAGATTGTTATTTCTATTTACTAAGTACATTTATACCTTTTCTTACCTTTACACCATTACGCTTGATTATTTATGCGCATATCACAATGCCTATTTGCGCTAAATATATAGATTAATTGCTAAGTAAACGGTAGATTATATAAAACAACTTTCATATGAAATGTCTCACTAAAGGAACGATCGGAAAGAAGAAAGCGTTTTACCGGCGACGCGATATAATTAGCCACGTGCGAGAAAATTAAATATTGAATTTAAAATAAATTGCGTTTCACATTGACTTTTATTATTCGTTTATTAATTAGTTTATTAAGTTTATTAAGTAAAGTTTATTAATTTCTTCAATACAATCATGATGGTAACCAATCAGCTCATTATTTGTTATACAATTCATAATTATATCATGTAAAATGATGCAATTAGTACCTGTATATCAAATAATACCGATTGCCCAGGTCTTACCACATAGAGATTGCTGCGAATGGAGACCTTCTCTATACATCCTGCTTTTAAGCAAAAATTTACTAATTTTGTATAAACAAATTTTAATAAATTCTCCTTTTGATGTGTTCAACCCTTTGACTGTTGCGCAAAAAAGCGTTCAAAATAAATTGGGAGTGTACAATATGTTACACTATTAAAAAACAGTAATATTAGAAAAATGTACATTATTAACAAATAAACATACCAGTGTTTCCATTAATTAACACTATAATAATTAAGAGGGATTGCGACGAGATGTTTAGTGCAACCATATGGGTGGTTGGTATTAGATGAACCAGAGGCAGGAATGTGCTTTCACAGATCAGTGGAAAAAGATTGGGTATAATATAAGCGCAACGCTACTTCAAAAAGCGCGATCATTCATTGCGTAATTCTACCTGGAGAACTAATTAAAACATTCGCGATGGAAGACTATTCTTATTCTTAAAACAAATTTCATAAAAATAACTATCTGTATATGAGCAAAAAGCTACTTCAAATACTGCGATACTACAAATTACTCTCAAAAATATTCTAACAATTTATAATCAAAATTGTTAAAAACAAACACGGTGTCATAATTCGCAACACTAAAGCAAACATGATTATCGTTTTCTCACAATTCTAATTCAAATCGTAATCAATTTCTTGCAACACTAATAAAGAGCTGCAAAACTTCTCTATAACTCTAATTCAGGCCGTAATTAATCTTTTGTAACATTAATAAGAAAAGCCGTGATTTGTTCTATATGGTAGTGGGACGACATGTACATGGACCAACTACAATTACAAATACTAAAAGCGAGCATAGTGACAAAGTAGTAGTGAAAATGACTTTCTATATTCTGTATGTTTGGATGATCCAGACGATGGAAAGCCATTAATAGTTGCTCACTTCTGAATCTTCCGGGCCTCTTTAGCTCGTAACCTCTTTTTTCTTTGGGCGCAATGCCCGCTATATCTTAAATCTAAGCTCAAGTCTTCTAATAGTAAAATAAAAAATAATTTATTAAGGTGAAATAAAAAAGTAAATTGTAGAAGCTGATTCAAGTGAACACGGTCGATCAACGATCATAGTGATCACTGCCTACCCGCATGTGCGTGCTTAAGCAACGCGTAAATGTTCGTTTCGAAACTTACTCGCGATCACAACCGCGAAATTCGAAAATTGTTTTAATATAATTAGAAACCTATCCTGAACTAATAATAAATAAAATAATAAAAAAAAAGAAGTGTCGCTACTCGCGGTATAATAAATATCTGCGGTCACAATGCTTGTTAAAAGTTCTACATAATATAAGCAGACACCCATATCGATTCGGACATTTCGTTCTACGACATGATTGAGTGACTGGAGGAACAAAAATGCATGCAACTCACGATTAGATGAGAAGAACGCTGTTATCAATATTATCGGGGCTACAGGAAGTCATCGTGAAGCCACCATTACATAGGAATCACCGAACTTCATGGAAGAAATGAAGGCTGGAAGAAATCTGAAACAAAGCATAGAATATTATAGTTTGTTCTTAAAGTTAATTATTTGCAAAGTTTGAAATAATGAAACATTTATCTTTATTTTAATGACAATATCCAATTCAATTCGAATTCAATTCAATTATTCACGGAAATGGAACAAAATGTAAAAGTTATTTCAATTTCTTAATTAACAAACAAAACAACAAAAATGAAACAAAATCTACAGGTTCTGCAACAAATTGATATTAAACAATTTGTTTAATTTCTTTAAAATAAAAAATAATCTAGTATATTCGAAATAAAAAAAGATAATTTATAATCTTGCCCATTTTCATCTTAGTATTCTTAATAAACTGTGACATTATTTTGTTATATTACGTATTTATTATGTTAAAAAAATTTCTCTCGCGATCAACCAATAATCTGTATAAAAAATCAAAACTTTTAAATAAATGTTTAAAAGGAACAAATTATATACGAATGAACCATGATCAAGGTTAAATGTCGTTTTGGAAACTCATAACACGACCTTCCAATAAATGTAACAATCAAAAAATGTAATAAATGTAAAAAGAGATAATTTAGTTACAAATTATAATAATATCGGGAAAATTATTGAATAAAAACGTACGTTAATTAAGTAAAATTAACAGTAGCCAACAGTAGCAACGAAGTTAATGTAATTAATAATGGCCACCCGAAATGATAAATTTTAATAACGATTTTCAAGAATCAAATAACTCCCCGCGTAACAGGGACGCATTTCGGACTAATTTTATGGGATGAGGTACGAGCTTACACGAGTAGGATTCAGTCGATTTTTTGGAAAATCGAAATGTTTATCGAAAATATTTATCAACAATGAGCATTTCAAATATCGTATATATTTATATACGAATATTTAAATGACTATGGGTTAATTTAATTTAGTCAACTAGAATTAATCAAATTCAATACAATTTGCAAAGATCACCAAAGTATTTGCATATTCAATTACCTATTCACTTTATCAAGCCACTCATTATTTTATATTTAAGATGGCTGTCCATATCGTATACTAGTTTTTATTAAATATATGTTTACAGTAAATATTTTTTAATTTCTATATACATTTTCAGATTGGTACCAAATTTACAAATATAACTACGATAGTTATGTATCATTATGGTGCTAATGCAAAATACTTCATACGATTGTACATAGTATACACATAAAAGTTTTCTATGATAACTGTCGAAATATTTTTGCGAAAATATATTCACCTTTGGCCAATTTCAGTGATTATATGTAATAACTATTTAAAACAACGTTCAGATTGTAGACGAATTTGATAATGTAAAAGCAAATCTACGAATACAATCTACTGTTTACCTAATAACTTCTGGATGAATTGTTCATGTTTTTTCTTGGTATGTTTCCCGTTTAAAACTGGCAGTTTTATGTTACATCCTAATATGATAGATCGACTATAAGAAATTATATCGATTATGATTGAATACTGCGATATTTAATTCCATATTTCACCGTTTCATTGGCGCTGTAATCTTTATTTAAGTCAAGATTATTGCGCGCATATTTCATACGAAGGTACATTGTTTAATTTATAACAGAAAATAGTACTTCCTTTAATCCTCCTCGTCTATTAAATAATACAGCTGATTTAGCAAAGCGCCTGTAAGTCTTTTTTTTATAGTTTGGCCTAAATAAGTCAAATAAACGTACTTTAATTTTAAGTCTAAGTTTCATTAATTTAATGAATTTAATTTATTTAATTTGGTAGTGCATAATGAAGTAATGCCTCTTCATACTTGGATGAGTTTAGTCCTCAAAATAATTTTTATTATTCAACAAAATTCTTGTAGGTATTGTCATTGACAAATACAGGATCTCGTCTGTGGTTTATAAAACTCAAACAATTATCATTGACTAAATACCTTACCTGTGCTACTGTCATTACTATGCCGCATCGATAATATCGCATGTATATAGAATAGTATATAACATAATAAGAGTGACCAAAATGTAATACACGAAAAAATATTGAGTATCAAGTCTATTCTATGTTTAGTCAATGGTCTATCCTTGCTACTTGATGACGATAAAACAGTTTCAATTTATATTAGTTTCAAATGATGAAAAAATGATGCACACAGTAGGTGCTGCCCCTGTGCGGTAGAATATTTAAACAGAAATGTTAACCGTTGGTTCACCGCTTTTCAAATGTTCCAGTGAGCGCATATCGATTCCAGCACGAGAAAGTTAACCATCGGCTTTGTACGAGCTGCTTGTCAGTTACGTCTTCTTCGTTCGAAATAATCTGTTACAATTAATAGATAACATGGACTCTGCTATTGTTCATCTCGAACAAAGTGTAAGTGCTGTCTTTTATTATTTTTTACTTGTTCATCCTGATTGTCATTTGAAATTTTTCATAAATACCGGACTTGATCAAATAAATGTCAAATGTTAAGTATTATTTTTTTACGTATAATAAGTTAGTATTTTATGAATTGGTTGATGTTATAGGTACAAGAAGCTGACGGAAAGCTGGACATGATCGCATGGAAAATTGATGCTTTCGAAAAAGAGTTTGAAGATCCAGAAAGCGAGGTATGTTTTGTTTAAAACACTGTTCGAGATATATGTTTCTTTGTCAGTTGTTTGTTAGATTCAATTCATTTAAAAATCAGTAGCTAGTGCAAAAAATTACATTTTTCGTTCGAATATCAATTGTTTAACTGATAGACAATGATTTGATTAGAAAAAATGATAATTCACCTTATTTGTTTGGTGGTTACTAAATTTGACATTTAAATTGCTTTTTTTATTTTTGTCCTTTTTTTATGCTTCTAACAGATTTCTGTGCTTCGTCTATTACGGTCTGTTCATCAAGTTACAAAAGATTATCAGAATCTTCGGCAAGAAATATTGGAAGTTCAGCAGTTACAAAAGCAACTTTCAGATTCTCTTAAAGCACAATTGTCTCAGGTACATGGACATTTTAATTTATTGCGCAATAAAATAGTAGGACAAAATAAAAATCCACAATTAAAATAAGATTAGAACATTAGTTATTTTTTCAATTATTTCCTGAGTTATATTTAATTTAATTTACAAATTCCTTTAAATCACAAATTTTTTGTAGGTACTATAGTGATATTAGTAGAATGTATTATAAAAGTATCCGGTGTTCTTGTTAGTATCAACAAAATAATATTGAGGAAAAAAACAATAGGCAAACAGATTTTGTCTTTGTTCTAATTTACTAATTAGTAAAACCATCAACATCTATGGAACCTTAAATTCCAAATGTTTTCCAATTAATTTATAACATGTATCTATTACAAGACACTTGTAGTAAATATAATCATTTAATCTATGTTATGGTATAAGTAATAGGTATAAAAAATTATATGTTGGACAATGAGATACAGGTTAATAACATCAAAATAATTTAATTGCAATTTTTACAAAGGCAGCTAATACCACAACATCTTCCAATGAAAATTTGTCTTGCCATAAACATTTGAGAAGATTTGAGAAAGACTAAGTTGTAAAGTATATTGAAATGATCTTTTAAATGTTTTGATATATTTGTATATAATAACTAATGCATATTAGTTAGATGAATTATATATCTATGTGATTGATTCATTATTGTTATAATAATTTATTTTTCGACCTTATTACTTACTTCATAAATAGTATGGGATCAACAGATATTGTCGACAAATAATTTATTTAACTTCCTATGTAAGTGAGTTATTGGGGGCCAATCTATATGCTTGTATATCCATGGAAAACAATGGAACAAATAAGATTTGAAAATATTTTCTTTTTTAGACAAATATGAAATGGATCAATGTTTAATTATATAATTACATTTATGATACATTTATAGTAAATATACATAATAAATTATAGTTTTAATTATATTTTGCAAAATTTATTAAAGAACAAGCTTAAGTTATGAAATAATTTATGTTAGTATGATATTTGAAAAGTTTTTAAATAATGAAAATCAAAATTTAAAAAATATTTTATAATTTATCATCTATGTAGAATTCATGATTATAGTGCCAAATTCTATTTATATCAATTAGGATGTAGAACTGTGAATATACATCTATAATACTTATATACTGAGTGACAGCATGATAATACCTATGTTTAAAAGCAACTATATTCAGTTATATTTTATTATTATATTCTTTCAAGAATCTATATGATACTATGATATCTATATGATATGATCTATATGATCATTGAATCTTTTGTAAGTGATTAAGAATTTTACTTCTTTGTATTTGTTATATAATCAAATTGTATAAATTAATTAATATGTTTTCATATAAAAGAAAAAAGAGCAAGTAAATTTCTGATAATATTTAATTATGCAAAATTATACTTTTTGCATTGTGAACAACGTATAACTATCATATATTTACTATAATCATCCTGTATGTAGTTGAAGTATTTCCTGCAACAATAGTTAAATTATTCTTACATTCAAAATATATACAACTGAGAAGTTTAGTCTTTATAATCAGTAAGTAATTTCATTATTTTAAGGAATGACTTATGTATACATAAGTGACACTAGTTATGGTTTTATAAATTTCTGTTTTTAATAAATAAATTTTATTGTATATATATGTATGTGTATAGAGTAGGAAAAGTGGCAAGCATATTTTATGACACAAGGAATAAAGAGAGAAATGTGCAAAGCCAGTTGCATATATTAAAGTATGAAAAATGAAATTGCCTTAAGACACAGATGTGCATTCAATGAACTACGTGAACTGTGTTGGACTTACACTTTACTATGATGTATGTAAATCAAAAAGTCTGTTATTTAGTAATGTATAAGCACAACAAGCACACTTTTATACATCTTGATTGGTCAATTACGTGCATTTCAAGAAAATGTTTTAGTCCTCTTTGTAATATGGAATTTGTGTAAGTTAATTATAAATTTAGTTTGCAGTTATAAGTCTTAATATAATTAATACATGTCACATTATATTTTTATCTTACTGTTAATTGCTCTTCATTTTCTTTCTTTTTCATGTTTTAAAAAGCAGATAAGAACAAGAAAATCTGTGAGTGTTCACGTGGCATTTTCTTGAATGGAGTAACTGAGTTTCATGATCATAAAGTTGCTAGCTGTTCACATAAAAAGCAGTTTTCTTCAAATTTAAAGCAAGTCGATTACCTATTAAATGTAATCACTCTTTGTGAGAAACTCCTCTAAGTCAATACTAATGATTCAGAAAGAAAAAAGATATTTGTGATACTCAGTGACTCGCACGTTTATCAGAGTTCATTTATATTTCAGTTAATCAATCGTGTATCTAGTTTCAATTGCTCTACAGGCAACGTATTAACTGAAAATATAAATCAACTTCTAGATTGACCTCTAGCCTTTATCTAAGCAATTAGATCTGGTCTATATCGGAAGTATATCGATGCATACACGTACACGTACATGTTCGGTAGTGATATCAGTCACAGTCACGTGTTATATTTTTATTGTTGTAGCACGCGGTAATAAAAATGAAATTATAACTCTTTCCATAAGTCACAATGGTGCATTACATCGACCGTAAATTTTTAATATTACCTTCGTTTCGATACTACGATGAACATCGTTTGATGTACATCGTTCAAAATTTCAATGATTGCGATTTCAATTTCGCCGCGAAGGCGCGAAACTGACTTCCGAATTAATAATTTCATTTTTTGAAAAATAAGCGAATTTCTTTATATTTGCATGCTACAAAGATGCAATACGAAAGGTAAATACATCTTTTGATATTTTAATGCTGCAGAGATATAGAATGGGACAAAATTGAGTTTAAATATTGCTTGTGAAAAATAAGTTTTTACAAAATTAATTACACAACAATCGTGAAATGTTAATTCTTGAAAACGCGTGACTTTGATTGTTTGATCGATAGTTTAATACTCGTTAAAATTGTTTTTTAGAATAGATGTAGAAAGTAAGTGAAGAGAAAAATGGTCTGGAACACATTCGAAACGTGCCAAAAATACTTTGGTCAATTAGCATTAAATAAATATAATATATATATATAATATATATATATATATATATATATCGTTTCATTTCAGTGTAATTGAACGCAGATTTCAGAGCATCTGCTTTTCTGTATGTATAGTCTACATATCACATTTTCACGATTTTCGACGATCTATTTCACCTTTTTACTCGTGATATTTCTAAAAGGAAAGGAACGTTCATTAGTTCTTTATTTAAAATTGACACGACTAATCGTAACTGTGCAAGAGAAAAAAAAGTAGGGAGGAAAATAAAAAAGAATATTGTAATTATGTAAAGGGACTTGGTTAAAAACGTAGCAAGTTTTTATCACTTGTTCGCTTGTTCGAATTATTAAAGAATGTTTCGTTTCTCTTTTGTGAAATGTGAAAAGAATTATTTATATTTAAGTATTTCATATACTCCCGATAAAAAAATAGTCGAATTGTATTTTGGAACAATAAATTGGAATTTGTAGTTTGTACAGCCGCGAATAACTGAATATATAGAATGCGATAGAATGAGCTGCGTTTTTAATTAAAAGCCTTGCATACGTGTTTCTACAAATGTTACAAATGAAACTTTAATGCATGTTGCACGCTTAGACACAATATGAATATGGTTAATCGATCATTATTAAATACAACTTCTTTATTGTTTATTCATGGAATACGCGTTCATGTGGTTCGTAAAATTGTACAATTTCGATTCCAGTCTGTATTCGTTAATAATCAATTAAATGATTAGTTAGGATAATTATATCTCAGTAGTTACATTAATGGAAATGGTATACAATAAAATATTAATGCAATATTTTTGGTAATTTTGATCAATTATTGTTATTTGTTGAAGTTTCTCATTCAATTTTAGGGTAAGAGTATTTGCTTTCTAATAAATAAGAGCAATATATTAGAAGCTCCATAAAAGTATTTGTTTTAATTTTTCAGACTGGAATTAAGTAGTACATAGTCCGAACCCAGCGTTGAAATTTATCAATCGTTTACCGTTGTATTATACACGATTGCTCAAACATTTCGATGTATGTTATACAAAATTAAATAACACGACAAAAATTGTATCTTTTTAGATATTTATCACGCTATTATCTAATAAATTGTTAACTCCATAGCAAATCATTAATGAGAACTTTTTCATGTTTAAAACCTGTTTAAAACCTTTGTTTCTTTATGATGTGAGATAGTAGAAAGATATGATTAATATTTAATAACTTTATTTAAATAGTACAATGTAGTTAGTTAAAGTAGAAAATAAAGTTGAGCCCTGGAAATATTAGTTTTTTGGTTGGAGTCCCATTTTAACATAATTATTATGAAATGAACAAATTCTCAGAAAGAATACGTGTCTATGAGGTGTCCGGTCTTGAATGGCTGAACCATGAATCATGCATTTAAAACGGTTATCTGTATGTTATTTTGCAAATTCCATCATCGACGTTTACCTTTTAAATAATAATTTGACGAATTTTCCTTTCTGTTTTTAATTCAATTTTTATCGGCTTAAAACTAAATCTGGTTTCATGTTAAAGTTAGCCAAAATTAGCATCTCTTTAGTCTCCAGTAATGTTTTTATTTATTTTTTGAATCCTTAAAACATTATTTAGTAATGACATAAAAACAGTGTAATATAGGTACTACAAGGTAATTTTACAAATAGTATTTTTTCTTACAGGATTAAATATTGTACACCATCTATGATTTATATATTTCAAAAATTAATAAAGAAGAAATACATTATCAACCTTTTAATATATCTTTAAAGTAAATTTTTCTTAATAACAATTTCATCAGAATTTCAAAAACTATAATATAATATAATACAAAATGCAATATTTTTCTTCTTTTTGTCAAGAGAGGAAAACCAAGGCTGTTCGGTATAATCTAAAAAATATTTCAAATGTCTGGTACGAGGTCAGCTGAATTGTGAAACAGCCTAATCAATTACTCATTTCCTCTTACCATCAGCCACAGTACAGTGGCCTTAGAGACCCTTTGATTAGCGGCCGACCGTCGCGTAGAACGACCAAGCCATTTCCTTGATGAAAAATTCTTGCCCGTGCAACCGCCCGTTATTTATTTACCAAAAGGTCCGATATCGCGAGTTGATATCATTTGAACGGACGGAAACGCGCGATTTTTCTCGTGATACCTGGGTGCGTATGATTTTCTAGGTCACACGAGTACACCGAAGGGATTCGCGACTGGAAATGAGGTGACTACGTGCTGAA